GAACAACATAGACTGATGAACAGGGACAGATCCAAAGACAGAGAAACAGCGATCAGACTATCAATCCCCAGAGGGAAAGTAGGGGAGGGTGGGGGTAAGGGGAAGAGATCAACCAAAGGACTTGTATGCATGCATATAAGCCAAACCAATGGACACAGACAACAGGTGGATGAGAGCATGAGTGGGGGGAGGAGGTTGGGGGTTAATGGGGGGGATGAGGACACATTTGTAATACGTTAAACAATAAAGAAATTAAAGATAAAAAAATACTGCTACAAGAGATATCTGAGATTTTACCACCTATGTTTTCTTCTAGGATTTTTATGGGTTCAAGACTTATATCTAAGTCCTTTATCCACTTTGAGTTCATTCTTGTGAGGGGTGTAAGCTGGTGACCTGGTTTCATTCTTTTGCATGTAAGGAGGGGGATATTAGATCACAGCTGTGTGGAGTCATTTGTGTGGAGAAGTCAGAGAGTAGCCTCTGGGGATCGCACTCGCCAAAGAGCTTTGAGCTCCTGGCATCTAGAGAAGGGAGGGATTGGATACCAATAGAAGGAACTTGCATAATTTTATTTTATAAACCTAAAATTAAGAGTTCATGTCCTTAGTGTACAAATTAGTGCCCCAGGATAATTTAAAGGAAAAAATACAGAAGCCCCAATTCCAGCAAATACCATTAGCAACACAATCAAATAACTTAGAGTTTCATTTTCAAATGTTGAAGCAATTAGAACTCATTGTGGGGCCGAAACCGGTTTGGCTCAGTGGATAGAGCGTCGGCCTGCGGACTGAAAGGTCCCAGGTTCGATTCCGGTCAAGGGCATGTACCTGGGTTGCAGGCACAGCCCCAGTAGGAGATGTTCAGGAGGCAGCTGATCGATGTTTCTCTCTCATCGATGTTTCTAACTCTCTATCTCTCTCCCTTCCTCTCTGTAAAAAATCAATAAAATATATTTAAAAAAAGAATTCATTGTGGGTATTTTTTAATTACAGTTTTCTCTGATTAGTAAAGTAACTCATGTTTATTACAGAAAATTTGAGAAAGTTCGGAGAAGTAGACACAATAAAAGCTACCTCTAATCCCAGCAAAGATGACTGACTGTGTTAGTATTGTGACATATATATCTTTTCAGTTGTTTTTCTGGGCCTACAAGTAAATGTTGTTCTCCTTAAAAAGCTGGACTAAGGCTGAAACGGTTTTCTATACAGCTTTACTCACTCACCCTGGCCAGTGGCAAACAGAGGCCTTTGCTCTGAAGGTACTGGGTGTTCCAATGACCTGTCTTAATTTCTCAAACGGTCCCTCTGTGGCCGCGGTACAGCCTGCGTGTGCAGTGCGGTTGCTCTGCTTGTCCTCCCAGCTTTCGGGTAGGAGAGGAGGGG